CAGAAACATGGAAATAAGTATTAGAAAAAATGTGTCAGCTCATTTGGTTATAGATAGTGGCTTTAATCAATATAAACAGTGGGGGTTTTAATACAATTTAAATACAGAGAGGATAAAAATAACACTTGGAGGGCCTGCTTACATTATTATTTAACGTTCATTGCAGTCGAGAATATTTAGCTTCGATGAAGGGCTTTGGATCCTTTGATGTGGCTGTTTTATAAGCTGTTAGGATTCATTTTTTAAATTATTTATTTATATACTTAGTGCTCAGTATTGGAATGTGGGCTTTGAAGATTCTGGGCATGTCCCCTGTCACTGAGGCATAACCCTGAATATGCCCTCACTAAGGTGCTATTTAAGCAGCAGACAGTAGACTGTTATTCTTAAGGGCTTATTGCCTTTGCATAACACAAAAAGGTATTTCTGCTGCATTAAATGTGCACTATATCCTTACAACAAGGACTAATTATTGGTGTATATTAAAATTGTGTAGTGCTTTAATAATAGATGAATATTCACTGCCCTACTAGTACATTGACTTCAGTGGTGTGCCATTATATCCCTGTGTACAATGGTCTAGCTCCATGAAAAGTCATGTCACACATCTGTAAGTATGACTGTAGGACTTATCACATTTGTGTCTCTATAACAATACATCTGAGGACAGCTGTACTCGTACATGCATGTGTACTGCTTTAAAAGAACATGTTATATCTCCTATAATAATGCATCTATGTACACTCCTTTACTTGATTTCCATGTGTGCTTTTGTACTATGAAATCTCTGTAGAATACTGTTCATGGATATCCATGTGTTCATGTTTACCAGGAAATACATGGACACATCTTTAGTAGAACATCAGGGTGCACTTCTCTATTTCTGCACAAGCACATCTGTGTCCATGTGCAATGCAGGAAGTTTTTGTTATTTGAGTAAACAAATTTTGAGTAAACATTTGCACTTCTTTACTAGTAAATATATATATATGGCACTGTCCAATTAGATCTGTGGACATGCAGAAGTAGTACAGGAAAGTTTGCTGCTGTTGTGTACACAGAGGTGCATTGCTCAACCAGTACATTGATGTTCACCAATCTGCTCCTACAACACTGCTGTTTAAGATAGGTTTGTGCATATGGGATAGATCCCCAGGTGGGGAAGCCTCTGGATGGCCTTTTCTTCACTGTCTGCTCCAAACTTTGTCTTCGTATTACCACCCTTGCATATTTTGTTCCCCTTCTAAGAAGAACTGAAGCATCCACACTTTGGTCTTCTTTCTTCCTGAGCCTCATATGGTCTCAAAAGCTCAGAATACTTTGTATAGGACATCTTTTTAAATCTATATAGAGAACACCACAATTTAAAATACAGTATTTAAAAATGTATGTAAAATACAGTACCCTGATTGTAAAGATTGGAGAGAAGACTTTTTAATGGTGATAACACTGAAAAGTACTTTGGCAAAACTTTCTACCACTAAAAGCAGAATTATTATACAATTCAAGCTTTAAAAAAAGTCTTGGAAGAGAAAATGAAAACTCATTTTCTCTTGCAGAGAAAATGAAAACTCATTTTTACACCAAAACTATAAAGAAAAAGAAAGAAAGAAAAAAGAAAAAGAAAAGAAAAAAAAGCCTTAAGAAGTGTTCTTCCAGAGGTAGCTAGAACTCAGTAAGTTCTTAAATCTTCCTCACCTAGTAAGATGGCAAACTGGGGTTCTTCAATACCAAAAACTTGGACTAATTCTTCATGTACACAGCTTGGCAAGGCTACAGAGTAGTGCGGGACTGTAGCTTGCACGTGGGCGTGGGTCCTATTGGGCTGAGTTATGGTTCCTGCGCTTCTGCTGCCCCAGGCAGCGAGAACAACAGGAACCATGACTCTGAGGGCAAAAGTGCGGGAATTTGACTGAGTTCATGCCGCGCGGCACCAGGCACATGCTGGGCTATGAGAAGCCGCTGAGTTCCACTCTGGGCATGGGGAGATCCCAGTCTGATGTCCCACGGGGGCAGAGCTCTTGGATTGGGGGTCTCCAGGCCGAGGTGGCTGGCTGGAGACCAGCTAGTCTCAGCCCTTTGACTTCGAGGAGCGCTGGAAGATGCAGAAGGACTGAGACGGGGGCCATACGAACTGGAGTAGCACACAGCTGAAAGGGGCAAGGGAGAGAAGCTCCAGGGTGCCCCTTGAGGTGGATGAGACTCTTGGTTGAGGTGACTCGCTTGGCTGGGTCATGGCTCCTCATCTAGCTTGCTTGAGTTGGCAGGCCTCTATAGAAAAGAACTCCTCAGGAGATTAAATAGCCGCTTGGTAGTTGAGGGTCCACCTCCACGGTTCTCAATGGTGGGCCCCAAGTATGAGAGGAAGTCCATGGTTTTAAAAGGTTTATTGGCATAGCTGAAATTGGATAAAGCTATACCCTGTGTTCTCAGGGTGGGCCTGTACAAATATCTGTTGTACAGAGGAGGGTCTGGGAAACAATGCTTAATTGGCTACACCACATAGCCTTTAGGTATCTCATTAATATGGAGATTTCTTGGGGCTCTGCAGACTGTAATCACGCCCTCTACCTGTGCTACTGGACTGAAGGCCACAAACATTTCTTTCGGAGGGGCTGAAGCTAAGTGAGAGGAAACAAGAGGCCCAGGAGTACCGCCAACTCCTACTGTCCCTTTAGGGTCTCTGGGGTTAGAAGCAGACTCAACTGGGTACCCCATTGCCTCTCTCAGCCCACAACCCAACAGAGTAGGCCAATAGCAAATCATACATATTGTGTGAGGATTTTTCTGTAGTGCTTGCTATGAGTTCGTGAAAGAGTAGTGACATCAGTGAGTTTTGTGGTAGCAGTGCAGTGAATACACGATTATTGTTCTGAAAACAAACTGCATATGTGACCAGTATGCCTGGAAACAACACACAAGCACAACATCCACCATGTAAATGAGCTCATTAATAATATGAGATTTCTTTAATTTTCCTCATTTAATCTATTATTAAACGTGTCAACCAAAGAGAAGGTTGTGTGCAAGGTGCAGAAGTTCCTACCTATAAATATTTGACAACTTCCTATGAGTGTTATATAAAATTAGAGTGATCAAGACTGTGGTGCACTCCTGCCTCCCAGAGACATTGGAGGTCTGTATTTTGTGTCATATGAGTGTCAGTAGGAGGCAGAGAAGAGAGAGGCTATGTCTATGCTCAGCTCACTGTCCTGATATCTGAATGTCTGAATGATAAGTAGCCTAACATTTCCTGAAAGAGGTAAGCCTAATACAGCCAGACTAGCATGAGGCAAGACTAGACAGTCTTCCAGGAAGGCGATCCAGAGACTAGAAGAAACCTTCCTATGACCAAGGCTATGGACGTGAGTGAGTCTGAGACAGGCAATACTTTCAAGGGGCCACTAAGGTGGACAAGGTAGGGAACAAGCCCTCAGTGACCACCAGACAAGGACTATGAGGCCAAGACAGGGAAATAGCCTAATAAAACCAACAGTCTGAGACCATAATGGTTTAGTAGGACATAGCACACCTAAGCCCACAACTAACATGACCCCAAACTCTCAGAGAGACCTGTAACATCTGAGAAATGCTTAGAGTGGGTGATTCATGAGGAGGAGCAGCTGGGGCAGCCAAGCCTCTCACTTCTGCTTCCATGGGGTTTATGTTATGACTTGTATCACTGTGGGAGGAGACTTATCATACTGATAACAGTAATAATATGCCATATCTTCAGATTCCAGGCTGCTGATGGTGAGAGAATAATCTGACCCAGACCCACTGCCACTGAATCTTGATGGGACCCCATCTTCCCTGTTGGTGGCATGATAGATCAGAAGCTTAGGTGATTTCCCTGGTTTCTGCTGGAACCAGCTTAAATAACTGCTAATGTCCTGACTTGCCCGGCAACTGAGACGGATTGTGTCTCCCAGAGAGGCAGACATGGAGGATGGAGACTGGGTCATCTGGATGTCACATCTGGTACCTAGGAATGGAGATACAATGAATATCCACATAGGTAAGCATGATAAAAACAGGACAGTCCCCAAATGCCAGCCAACACTAATCACAGTGTAAAAATGAGGTTTCCATTTTAGTTCATTTTACCTGGAAACCAGAGCAACAAGAACCCAAGAAACTGAGCAGGAGCCCTCATATCCATACTGAATCCTGACTGCAATGACAATGGCACAGGGTGTGAGTAGTATATAAAGAAGTCCCTAAGGCTGTACAGTGAGTTCATGCAAATCATTGGAAACCAGTTAGCACTGGGCACAGCTGCAAGGCTTACTCATCTCAGTATTTAGCACAAGCCCAGTGTCCCCAGACACCTGAGGTCAAACCATTTGTATATCTCCAGAAAATGAATTTCTTTTCAAAAATTTATAGTTATAGATGACATTATTATTGTAAGCAGTCTCTATTTTGAATAATATATTTAAAAGACACGATGGGTAATATAGATCCTAATGTCAGAGAATATACAACAGAGAAAAATGATTAGATATTAACACATTCAAATAATTCTGATTGGCTAAAAAAAAATTATGTGTTCTACTGTGAAGTGTTTGGAGTAGACATCTCTTGAAATTAAAAAGACAATTCATCATAACCATTATCACTGAATTAAAATATAAGGTTTTAAAGTATTCACTTTGATAACTACAGTCCAAAGAGCTGAAATCCACCATAGGTGTACATATAACACCTTGATCTCAAGAATCTGTGTCATTTAAACTTTTGACTCCATGTGAAGTTGAAGGTACTTTCACACTTACAAATTAAATGGGTACAACTTTTGCTGAGTTTGGGATCCTCCATATTTTTCTATTTTCTAACATTTACTACTATTTCCCACAGTTCCTCAACATAAAGGTTTGACTGGTGATGAGAGAATTGAGTACTATAACAGAAAACACTGCTATTTACACATTTTGTTCTTGAGCAGTACCTGGAGGTATTATCCAGATTCAGGCAGCAGCCTCACCATCTGCGTGTAGTTCTCAGTCTCCAAACAAGTTACAATGAAAAAAATGTTTGTGCATCCTTATAACACAAATATTTGAAATCCACAGATCAGACATTTATGTCTTTATTATGACCATCTTAACTTATTCATCATCATGAGAAGTACAATCAATTCAATCTTCAATACTTTGTCCTGAAGCCAAGGAATCCTACAGCTCTTTCAGAAACTAACTATGAAAGGCCCTACAATGTTGTGACATGAGTCTATACACACTGATTTTCCAAGGACCTGCACGTGAGTGATGTGTGAGAACAAAGACCTAATCATAAGGCACCTTCTTCAATATACAGAGCACTATCCCCATAGGGAAAAATTCACAGCACCCTTTGCATGGATTAATAGTAAAGCTGCCTTCCCTGCCTCTTTCTTGCACTCTCTTTCTGCCTGTGTCTAATACCTGTATCTGTGTCTCTCTGATTTTTGAGGCTTGGAGACATTTCTGAGTTCTCACATGATATCCCTAGGATCTGAGGAAGATGGATCAGACACTTTTATTGTGTGTTAATAGGAGGATGACAGTTCCTCTCAACTTAGAAAAAAGTGAGTCATTAATATGCAGGGCATCTGGGATTTGAATTCTTAGCATACCTCCTTTAATGATATGTGGAAATACAAAGGGATTTCCAAAAACTTTTAAGTTTCTTTTATCAATAGGTCTTAGATTGCACTAAGAACTAAACAATTTTGGTTTTGATTATATCATCCTAGGAAAGTGTCTATTAATAGTATAACAGTGATAATTGTTGCTTTCTAAAAATATTCAACAATTTCCTTTTTATTTGTTTCATTTATTTTTTATTAGGTATTTTATTTATTTACAAAACAGATGTCATCTTGTTCCCCATTTTCCCTCCTTAGAACACCCTATGCCATCCCCCCTCCTCCTTTATGCTTTTATGCTATTTTGATTATATGCATGTATTAAGGTCAGTTCTAGGTTGAAGGCCAACCATAGATGCAAATAGACAAGGAACGATCAATACAATAAACACAAATAGTCAAAGAAAAAGCAAGGCATTAAAGCCAATTATGTGAACACTCCTGTGATCACTGTTTCTAAGGGCTTATTACGATGATCAAAGTATCTGAGCCTACTACCCAGTCCTAGCACAAGGTCATTTGATGTCTGAAGCCTACTTCCTTGTTCTAGCCTAAAATTTAGATTTCTGTCTGAAGTTGCTTCTTTGTTATAGCCTAATATTTAGGTTCCTGCCTGAGATTACTTCTTTGTTTTAGCCTAATGTCCAATTCCTCCCTAAAGCCTACTGCCTTGTCCTTGGCCAATGTCATATTCCTGCCAAGCAGCCCATTTCTGTGTCCTTGGCCCATGTCAGATTCTTGCCAATAAGCCCCAAAGGCTCTCTGCTTATCCCCCTTTTTTATTTCATTAACAAGACTGAGCCTGTCTTAGGTCATTCTGACAAGAAAGCCTTTCTTACTCTTGCACCTATGCATAAGTATGCCTAGCTATAGAGCACCATAGACACTCAGTAGAAATTTTCTTGGCATCCAAATTAAAAAAAACAAAAACAAAAAACCTTTAAAATAAATTTGTGGTGTACAGGCGTATATCTCCCACTTTTTTTTTTCTATGAAGATATGGTTTTAAGGTTCCATGGGCCAGTTCCAGAGTCTCTTGTCCTTGACAATTATAAGGAATCACCGTAATATGGGTAATGTTAAATTGCTACTAAAGAGTCTCAAATGTTGGACTGCCATAGCCAGTTCCATTGTTTGTTTGTTTGTTTTTATTTTTCTTTATTTTTGATTATTGGGTACTTTATTAATCTATATTTCAGCTATCTCTTAACATCAGTGGACTCAATTCCCATTCAACAATTTCTTAAAGGACTCTATCTAACACATATAGAATACATACCTGCATACGTTGAGATATATGTGTCTCCCTACTCTGTTGATTAATAAATAGGTCTTCTGATTCTTTTTTCAGATTTCAAAAAGTTCATTTTTTAAGGAGACAATACAAGCAAATGGTTTGGAAATAATGGACCTCACTGAACCTTCCCATAATTACCCAAGTCTAGGCTCTAGAAGTTTTACATTGAAATTGACATGTTAAAAGAACTTGCCAGGTGTAGTTAAGTTATGAGTTTGAGGTGACAGGAACATTCTGAAATATATGGGTGAGATCAGTATCATCACACGTGTTTTTCTAGTAGGGAGAGAGGGAGTTGAGCTATACAGAATGGTTGTTACAATGTAAAAGAGAACCATGGGGGATAGTGCCCATTGTTCAGGCTAAGGTGATAGTTTCTTGGAAGATTAAGTATTAGCATTAGACTGTGATACCTGGAGTCTAGAGGATTATCTCAGATCTCCTTATCATTGAGGTTAATTCAGGAGAGGGCTAACATCTGCCAGAACTTTAAGAAGACTATATTTTTAATCAGTTCTGAAGCTATTGGCATTTAGCCAGAGAAAACCAAATTAAAACACTGTCTATGATTTCTCTAAGCCTATGGCTTTCCTTAATAGTGCAACATTCTAGAATTATTATCAGGTGGTGATATTGTGAAAAGAGGCTTAATTTAAGATGGGAGGGTTTCAGTGTTATTCATGGCTATAAAACCCTGATTGTTAGCTGTGAGTAACTCTATGGAGAAAACTAGAAAAATAAGTTTAAAGAAGGACATGGTTTTTTCTCTCACAGAATTTCAAATGTCACCCATTATGATTCCAATGTATTGTTTTGGGGCCAGAGTTGATACAAAACATGAAGATAGAGGGTACATGAAGTACAGTAGCTTTGTCACAGAATGAAAGAATAAAAATGATACAGAGTGACCATGAGAGACTAAAGGACAAGTTCTAGAAACAAAAACAAAAACAAAAAAACAGAAAAAAAAAATCAAAAATGACTTTTCTTCAGATACCCAACTGTTACTTTTGCTTCTCACTAGATAGAGTCTGTTATTTACTAAGTTTCCTAATTGTATTATCTACTAAAGATTAAGTTTTCGACACAGGCATTTGAGAAGACACAATAGATTCAAACTGAAACATTGATTCTACAGCCGAAAAATGTTCATCCTTGTCATAAATAAAAGTAAAATATATTGAGGCGAATTATGACTCTGTCAATTCTTACAGCTCTTGAATTTTGTAAAAGTAAAGACAAAAGCTCCCTGGGAAACTCAAGAAACTATTTTACCTATAAGAGCATATAAAACTAACAGGTAAAAGAATTTACTAACTTAACAAACCATAAGGTGCCGACAGTCACAAGACTGAGTTAGAATGTTGTCATCATCTGAGGCCTACAATGATTTTTCCACTTTAATTTAGTATTCCTGTTAATATTTCCACCAGTATATTCAAAAGTGGCTAAGTTCATGACTTTCTTTTTTCTTTTACTATAAAATGTTCATGAGACTGAATAGAAAGGAACATGAAATGAGCGGTAACTTAAATCTGTTCCAAGGCCAACATCATTCATACTTGGATACACAGTAAAGTGTTTCTTAAATTCTTGAAGATATATGTTGTGTTTTGTCAGACACTGGGATATCCCATAACGGTGAACCTAACAGAAGTGAAATTAAGAAGGCTAGGGAGGAGGGGAAGGGGTAAATAACAGTGTGTTAATTACAAAATATTTTCTGCTTCATGTTTCATAACAAGCGTTTCTCATAGCACTGGTCATACAACAATTTAATAATTTTATTTGTAAAGGATACCTAGGAGTAAGATGAGCTTATATGTCAACTCTGCCTCTCTTTAGGCCTTGTAACTTACAATCTATTTATTCTGATATTTTTGTCCTACCAAACATGTAGGGAATACAAGTAGCCCCTGAATCTCGCAACAAAATCAAATAATGGCTAATTGTCTGAAATCTTCCTTTAAAACAATTGGCAGGAGTTTTTAATTTTAAAATATTTAAAACTCTCTTTTAAAAATAAGATGCACATAATCTACAATTGGGTAAAAATGTGACCTCTTTTTTGTTGTTCTCACAAATCTTCATCCTAAATATCCTAATTACCACTTCCATTTTCAGCTGATGTTTTGAAACTTACATAATCTATTGAATATCACTGAACTACAACACAACTTTCTGGAAAAAGAGGCCATGTTTTAACATTGTAGGTAAGAAGTTTTCCAGTGGAACTAGTGATAACTGCTTCTTCTTCTTCTTCTTCTTCTTCTTCTTCTTCTTCTTCTTCTTCTTCTTCTTCTTCTTCTTCTT